TCGAAAGTAAATATCGATAGAGTTCGATAAGTCTCGTTAGTTCTCTCAGTTTGTGTGTGTTTATGGCACGCCATATACTTCCTCCACTCCTCTGGTGTCACAACCAGACATCCTTTGCACGTGCATGCGGGCGAACATGCACCACAAGAGGTTATTTTTGTTTAGTCTGTCGGTCGTTCGCGTCTCTGTATTCTCTCAAAACTATCGCCGCGTGTAATTGCCGCGAGTATGGCAAAGCTGTCAATATCCGAATACTTAACTTTCACCATTCGCTCCGTTGCAAAATGTGCTAAAGCTACAACAATCCTTCGTAAGATGAAAATCAGAGCAATCACGGATGCTGCTTCTGCATAAAATTCTCTCTCATATTGCAAATTTTAATTTATAAATATAAAGAATACGATATAAAGACATTGCGGGTTGATTTTGATGAGTTTATTTCAAGATTCGATCATGTTAAGAAGAAAAAAAATGATGTTTAAATATATTATATAAATATACGAAAAGATTGAGAAAATAAGAATGAAGAGAGATAGGGAGAATAATTTTTTTTAAATTTAAAAGTAGCAAGATCTAAATTTTTTTAAAGAAAAGATAAGAGGGAGAACTTTAAGCTTCTTGAAACGTTTAAAATCTTTGAATCTTTGAATCTTAAAATGAGTTGCGGTCATTCGTAATCGGTATTTTATGCACGTTTCTCGCGGACAGCTTTAACCCGCCCCGATTTGGTTGCTTGATGAAATTTACTTTCGCGCTCCCGGAAGTCGCGTTATTCCTTCCGGACGGAGGCGAGTCCCGAGAGCCGTCTGTCAACATTATAGACACGGTGCTTACGGTGCTCTCCCTACAACGGGGCGAGTCAATACTTTACAGTTCGAAGTGAACGCTCGCTCGTACTTCGCTATCGCCCCCTCGTCGCGCACCCCCTTCGCTACGAGCCGTCGTGGAGGGTGCCAAGAGCACCGGGGGCTTTACATCGCTCCTCCTGCTCTTTCTGCCCATCGTCGTGCGCAAATACGACCAACGTATCGCGAACTCCGTCGGTCTGCAAACGTTCTTTGCGAATACGAAGTATAGAGGGATGTATAGACGACGACTTGAAAAAAATATTAAGCAACGTTTGGCATAATAAGAAAAACTGTGATATTTGAAAAATAATTCAATTCTCAAATTTTAATTATGTTTCACACAACAATGATTATTAATTTTCACAGTTCAACTGATTTGTTATGTTTAATTTGTCATTTTGAAAGACTATAATATTGGAAAAATATATATAATTAAATAGTTAGACAAAATTATTGTAAATTATTTTTTAAAAAATTAAATATCTTATGTATCAAAAAAGTTACAAGATTTTTCTCATGCCAAATGTTAGTCTTAACATGAATATTAGAGCATAAACTTGCTCCTAATTCGATAAGAATTAAAAATATTTATTATTCATCTCGCTACTTATTATGAATTTACTGTTGAAGAGAATGTATATTAGAATTAGAAAATATTCTATTAAAAAATATTTTTAAATTTGTTGCAAAAATGATTACCATAAGAATTACTTCTGTAAAATATTTATAAAACTGAAATAACATGCGACACGATGTGAATACTTTTTATCCGATTATTAAAAAATCTAACAAGTATAATCTAAATATTTCTATATATTACAGTACAAGAAATATTCAGGTGTCACTAAATTGGGTAGTATTTAAATATTTTTCAAATATTAAACAATCGCAATGTAACAAGAACGGCAACACGAGATGGAAATGTCACGAGATGTCAACGCATCTTGAACCGGTGTCTATGTGTTTTTGATATAAAGATTGTCCGACAGTAATTAGCGAAACGACGTAGCGCGAAAATGTTGTTGCGTAAGGTCCGTGACGGGAAGGGTGGCGAATATTACAGGAGCGGCTCGACGGCGGGCGTCAGCAGGGGAAAGGAGAAAAAGAAGGGAAGGCGAGAGGACGAGTATCTAGGTCTGTGTAACGATTTTTAGAGCCTCGACCCTCCGATCGTTCGGGCCATAAAAAACTTGAGGCACCCCACAGTAGTCGGAGAGCTGTGTGCTAGGGTTTCCATAGCGACGAAGCCCTTTCGCTCTTCGCCCGCGGCCCCCCCGCTACCCCCCGCTTCGTCCTGCTCTGTGGTAACCTACCGGCTGCCGTTGCCGCCACCCTTAACGCGTTGTACCGGCCTCGAATCCCGGAGATATACGCGTCGTATAATACGAGCGCGACGCAACCAAAGAACCGATGGAAATCGCCCAGAGTCGATCGCTCCGTTAAATTTCTCGCCTTTTTATATCGCTTCGCGCAAAAAGCTATAACCCTTTAATCCTTCAATATACAAGATCCCCTTTTAACGGGGGTAGATACGAGGGTCGTGTCGTAAAATTTGTATTCTCTTCGGAGAAATATAGTATGGATTTAGGTTAAAAGAGAGTTGCTCTAGCGCCAAACGCACAAGGCGTACATGTAATGATTCTTAGTAAATTTCTATGGATATCTTCGAGTCATGTATCTCGATATATGTATCTTAATATATTATAATATACAAAAAGACACTCGAATCAAGAGAGAATTATTTTTTTTAAAGCGGCGTTCTCGTGAAGAATATATCGATTCTTCGAAATATTTCTTTAAATTCATACAACGTGAGCATTACATACTTTCTCTCCGCTGGTGTATCATTGGTGCGTCAGTTCTTTTCTAGAGATACGAAAATAAATCGCGAGTTTTGGGATGCCTGACCGGTTACTCAGGCCATTTAGTCATTCCTCTTATACCGGGTATACCGGGTATCACGCAGTCACGAGAACTCATCGTTGGGCACTGTCCAGATCACGAATTAGATCGTAAAAGAGAAGGATGACTCTTCGCTCTCTTGCAGAAGCACGGAAATAAACGCGTTAAGTAATGATACAAATGTACGGGTAGCGCGCAATAACCGAAATCGGACAGCGAATAAATGACAAATTTTTTTATTCGCGGGAATTAAATCAATATGTACGATATTCCGAAAATTCAGACATTCAGCAATGTAAATTAATTGTAACTAATTATACTTCTTTTGCTTATCCTTGTAAGATCCTTGTAGACATAATTCGACATAATTCGACATATCAGCAATATTTTGTTTGTCGTAATTAACTTTTTTAAACGATATGTTAGAAATCTCAAAGAATAATGTAATGATTGCTATATTATTAGAATTATGATATATCGATCGAGAATTAAAAAGTTATATGAAATGAGCTCTCGTTAATAAATAGTAAAATATTGTAGCTATATTTTGGGATCGAAAATTTCACGAAAAAGATATTCATTTTAAATTTTAACGAAGAATACGGATATGAACTTTGATCTTTCGCTGATACGTGAATCGAAAGTTAAATTTACACAGACGATGTATCGATAAGGATTCGATCATTGTTTTTCAACATTTCATTTGGCATTGTAGTCGCGCTGCATAATTTGCACGTGTGACAAGACATAATAGGACATAATACAAAAGGAGTAAGCAAAAAAAGTAGATGTTTATCCGATGCACGAAAGGAGTGATCGGCTGATTTCTACGCGAAGTCACGACCCGTGTATGTAGTCAGACGTAAACACACGAAATATGCAAATCGTACGACACACATCCTGTATCAACACATATTATCTCTCTCTGTTTCTCTTTTATTGGTACACTTTAATTTTTATAGATTGATTTTTATGATGATTCATGATAAATTCGAGCATAGAATAAATTAAATTCTGCGTAGGAAAATATTTTCACATTGTATGTAACAAATTATATTTATATTATATATAATTATATTTATATATTTATATTGCCATTTTTAGAATGGCGAGTATAAAAAAATAATTTATAAAAAAGTTGCTAGAGAGAAACGAAAGAAAAAAAGAAAGACTAATAAGTGTTCGAAGAAGCTACCTTCATTCTTTCGATGCATTCGACCGAACGCAGTGCTCTGATTTCTGTTCGTTATAAACGAAAAATGGCACGAGAGATGGTGCACGAGAGGATACGAAGAAAAAAAGGAGCACAAGGGAGAAATGGGGAAGGAGCTGCACGCACGGTTGGAATAGTTAAAAATAACTCTGACCACGAGGATCCTGCGGTTCCTGTAAACACGAGCTCAAGCATGGCAAAACGAACAGCGCTGATCGCATACTCGCGTGTGTGAACCGGTGATCAGAAAGAGAATTTGGCGAGAGTTCAGCAAAAGTATATATTTCATTCATTGTCAGATGAATTTAAGAAATCAAAGATCATTTTATATTTTGATATAGAATGTAAAATCACACACATTGCATAGAATGTTGCATTCATCATTGTATAAAATGTAAAATCTTTCAAAATATTGAAAATTTTTAGTATTTTTTTTGTAATAAATAAATAAAGCGATATTTTATAACATTTGTCTGGGACATTATTTAAAAAATACATAATTATATAATATTTTAAATAATTAAAAATAAAAATATTTCTTCACGATTTATAATACTTGATAGATATTTAAGATTAAAAATTTTTTTTCTGACCCTCAATATATAATTTTTAATTTAATAAACCCCTCAATATATAATTTTTAATTTAATAAATATGTTTATAAATATATTTAATAAATATGAACACATAATATAAATTTTAATTCTGTCAATTGATAGCAATCTGTTTGATTTACAAAGCTATCTAAAAGAATAATGTCATTTAATTGTTTTGAGTATAATTAGATTGTTCAATGTTCAAAAAATGATTCTATACAATGTGTATATTTTCTATTTCGCATACTAAAAATTTTATACCATTTTTTACACTGTTTAATAGTATGTGATATAAGAATTCAAGTTTTCTATTTTTTCACGAATAAAATCTTTGGTTTCTGAATAATAAAAAAATCTTTCCGAAAATATAAAGTATCCTTCTAATACACACCTACACATTAAGCAAGACATTTATTCAATTCAAGTCTTATTTATACTCACGTGCTTCCATAGAGGTGTCTTGAGTCAGTGGTGGACGTTGCGTCGTCGTCGTCGTCGTCGTCGTCGTTGTCGTCGTCGACGATACGAACGAGTCTTCGACGTCGTGCGCGACGGTTACCTTGACCTGCTCCTCGTCGCTCTCTTCGTTCTTCGGTGAGTTTCGCTCGGAATTTGCGCGCACTCTTACATGCTCGGCCACCTGCACATCGTCTCCGGAAAACGCCGACCGCGACGATGACATCGGCCCGGTGACTGTCGTCGTAGTCCACTCGATGACACTATCACTACCAACTACGACCGCACCATTATTCTTGTTCCCCACGAGCACTAACTCCCTCCTTTCACTCTTCTTATCATCCTTTATCCCGTCCTCAGTCACTCCCCCGATGTCATCTTTCTCGATGCTTCCAGTTCGCCGAGTAGCACCGAGATATGCGATGTTCCGCGTGGTCGTTGTCGTCGCCACCGCCGTTGTCGTCGTCGCCGTTGTTTTCGAAGCGCTCTCGTGAAGTAGAATATCCCGCAGGGAATTCTCCGGGCGCAATATCGATTCTCCAAACTTGAAGACGGGCTCTAGCAACGGAGTGAAAGCTCGGACTGCCGGACGAAAGCCATCGTCGATGGGCGATGCGGATTCCAGCTTGCGAGGTTGTAGAGAACGTTCGTCAATGCGTCGCCATGCCTCCGGCCAGGGATCGATGAAGTTCGGAGAAGATTGATCTTTCAGTTTCGATCTCTTGCTAATTGGTACTCGTTTAGCTCTTTCTCGTCGTGCTGTGATCTCTTCATTTTCCTCGTCACGATCCGGTGTCGGAACGGAAAGATCTTGATGCCTGACGACGACAATATTCAACGGCGTCAAAGACGACGGCACTTTCGACAATGACAAAGACGACAATGACGACGATGACGACGACGATGACGATGGCGACGACGACAACAGCGGTGGCGTCAACAATAGCGGCGATGTTAACGACAGAGACGACGTCAACGACAACGGCGGCGCGGAAGAAGGCGAAAGACGCGTCGTCAGAGTAGTAAGATGATCCAGAGTTCTCCGATTCACGTGACCCTTACAACTGATTTCGTTAAGGCTGGAGGCGCACTTTCGAATCGTCCTTCGAAACAGGCGCGACGCGATGAACGGACGATCGGACGTTTGCGACGACAGATGAATAGATGATGCAGTGTCGGCTGGATGGAGGCTGTCCAGCGGCTGAGTTATCACCTGCGTGGCCGTCGTCGCGCGCGTTAGATCATCGAGGAGAGCAACAACGAGAAGAAGCAGGGGCAAGCCCACCCCCGCCCCCGTGGTGGCACCCGCTACTCCCTGCCGCGCGATGAAAATCCGCGAGGCGGCCGTTCAGTCTGTTTGTCCGCGATCCGTTCGCGACGATGAGCCTCGTCGTCGTTCTTTCCCTTCTCTTTTTCCTTCTCTTCCTTCTTCCTCTTCTTCGCCTCCTCCTTCTCTCCCTCGCGATCTACATGCAAGCACGCGGTCCAGCGGTTTTCCTCGAGCACTTGTCCGCATTCGACGGTTACGTCCCGCGTCGTGACGATTGGTCCACCTCGACTCGTGCCGGCGTAGTGCCGTTTTGGCATCTATTATTGCGTCGCGCGTACCAGCCACGTGCTGCTGCCCCTTTTGCGCTCGATGTTGCCGCCGCGATAGGCGACCGACTCCACCATGTGCTCGATCGAGCCGGACAATACCGTATCCTCTGTCCGCGCGCATTCCGCCATCATCGCGCGCCCCGCGAGGCGGTGTCGCGATCCGCGTCCCGGCGATGCTCGGCGCATCGACGTTGTCCGGCGCGCGGCATTCTCCGCTCGCGTTTCCGCTTCTTCCTCCGCGTCCTCGCTATCTAGTTCAACGTCCAGATAGCGCTCACAGGATTACAGTGCAATCTGAAACAATCCAAGAATCCCACGATTCAATTGAGAAATGTTTCTCTTGTTCTCGTAAATATTGAATTTTCGCGCAGAAATCTATACATTTTTCTATGTGCGATATACATACACAGTTTCTCAGTTTATAATTTTAAGTATTATAATTATCTAAGTCTCTCTTAAAATAATGTCAAAAATTAAGAATAATTCTACGTGAGAATCATTTCTACCTAATTTTTATTTATTTGATTAATTTATTAAATTATAATTAATATGTTTTAATGTATCTCCTTTTATTAAAATTTGTCCACAATATGTCGATCGGAAGTCTTTGTTTTTCTTTAACTAATGTTTTCGATTATTATTTAGATAATTTTCTTCCATCTCATTTCTATTTTATAAGTCTTGCATTTTTTAAACTATGAATTTAGTTTTAATCAAAATTAATGAAATAAAATTACATTTTTTTCATTACAAATGAACTTTGATGGAATTTATATTTGAAATATAATTATTATAATGTGATAAACGTTACATAAAATGAAAATGTGAATTTATAACAAGTTTGCGGAAATTTCGATACACCCAACAGTCAATAATTAGTTAACATGATATGTGATCAAGCTCACGTATACCATTTGCCGCCAATTATTCACAGAACGCAATTATCCCGTCGGGAGTAGAAGAGTTTAATAGTCCAATAACGAGCACAAGTACGAATGTAATAGTACATATGTGTTTCAATGCGAATATCAAAACACTTTCCATAAGACTCACTAGGGAATTATATAACAAAAATTTAAAGAATTATTATATATTACAAAGCATCGCTAGGCTATTCTTATATTATAATTTCCATAATCTCAAGGATCCTAAAGCCTAATATATCTCCATATCTTATGCCTAATGCATTTATGCTCATAGATATGCGTCCGCAGATAATACGTGGAATCTGCAGACTGGATATGCGTATTGAATATCCAATTCAAAATGGGAAGAAAACTATAGAAAAGTCTATAAATTTAGAAATGTTATAAATCAAAGGTATCATAGAAAGCCAGCGAAAAAATGAATTTTTTTAAGATTAAAAACATTTAGCGAATAAACATGAATGGAAAACTGTGTTATTATCCATACAAGTAGCTAATGAACATTGATTAGACATCATTATACAATTGTTCACATATAATATACGTAGATATATTAGACTTAAAATATAATTTTCTTCATAAATATACATATATTATATATTTTTTTGATGTTTTAAATGTATCTTCTGAGAACATTATTATACGTGTTAAAAAATATTGTTATATCATCTGAATATAGCAAACCCAGCTCTCTAATTGGTTCTCGGCAAGTGGGTTACACATTTTCGATATTCCATTTATTAATCAGAGCGCCGATTCTGGAACCGCGCGCTGCAACGTGAAAAGAATCGACCGCGCTCTATATTTCACATGCTTATGCATCATTTCTTCTAATAGCAAAATAATTTAAATAAAACTGATCCCCGAACATAATAAAGGTGACAAGACAAGCCATCTGCATAGAACGAAGAAACACAGAAATACGGACGTCTAGATGGGAGTGACTGATCTAAAAGTGTAACGGAGGAAATATAAAGGGAAATGAGAGTAGAGAGAGAAGATTGAGGCTATAGAGCGCTGTTAAGTTTCAAATAATTATTAAAGTAAACCTATCGCTTGAAACAATTTAAGAAAATAATAAATCACATCTCGTCATAATCTTAAATCTTAATTCTTTAACATCTTATTTTTCATCTCACTTGCTTCTAGAATACTTGACAATTCCGAAATATCTCAAAAATATTAAAATACATTTAATATTAAAATATTAAATACATTAAATATTAAAATACATTAAAATACATTTTTTAATATTATTGACGATGAAATAAATTGGTTTCTTCAAATTGTATTTTAATTAGACTCTTACATAATTCTCATTAAAAGGATGAATGGTAAATCTGAGACCTTGTACCTAGTTCATGTTACGACATAATTATTTGTTGAATATTTTCTTAAACGGACATGATGAAAAAAAATTTACACACACGGTGCTACCTCTAAAAATATTTAAGACACGCGTTGAAAAAAATAGATGGACGAGCGAGTGAGGAATATACGGGCGGCGCTTCTCGTTACACGAGGGTCGACCCTCCTGAAATTTGTTTACTACGCCGAGGGACACCGGTGCCCGGGGCTAAGTATAGCCGTAAGGAGGGAGAAACCGCGAAAATGCTATTTTTATGAGCACGCGTCGCGCGAACATTGTTGTACCCGATCTTCTGTGTCTCGACGACGATGCCGCCGTCGACCGGGTCGTATAGTCGTCGTCATTGATGTCGCGATTATCGTCATCATCGCTGCAACATGCGCGATGACCATAAAGATTAGGTCAAAGCGATTATCTCAATTAAAAACAAACGTACGATCGATAATTTTATCATTGAACAATTATGTATATTTTTTCAGAAAATAAAATTTATTATTAAAAAAAACTTTTAATCTTGCGCATAAAAAAACTTTCTAACCGTTAAATATAATAACTGTATCAATATAAAAAAATATCATATTTTTATATTTTTTAATAATTGTTATTTCCAGCCCTACAATCTATATGATTAAATTTATAATTATGTATATATTAAAAATATATCTCAAGTATCTTATAAAAAAAATAATCTGTATTTCTTATCATCAAAAATTATTAATTGCCTCGACATTTTTCTTGAGAAAAGAACGATCTCGGGATCTTAGTGAGAAAATCCCGTGGAACACCGCGTCACATGAATAAGTGTCGCGAATATCGAACATAGATCGAGAAAAATTAGGAAAAATATTAGACGAGACCGTTTCTACTTGGCACATCGGTCTAATGCGAGATTCGTGTACCTCGTTGATAACGATTGAGTACACGCATCGGTGGCCCCGCGAGGAGGGGCATGTTCGCGCGTTGCGGCACGCGGCCGATTGATCTTCTTATCCCCGAACGCGAAATCACGCGCGCGCGCGTGCTCGCGTACGCGTCTGTGTATCCGCCGTACGTAAAACGCGGAATACCTGCTAATTATAGTCTCGTAGCCGAAGGAAGGAAACCGCGGAGGCACTATTTTTACGACTCTCCCGCCAAAATATCGTCGCGCGTCTGCCACGCGCTCCTCCTCGACGGCAGGACAGGCGTTCACCTTTGTGTTACGTGACGTATTTTATCACAGTGAGAATAACTAAAATAACTGAACTTAGAATAAAATACGCGATATAGTTAAAAAGTGCTTGATTATTTTTAAGCTTACGCTTTATCGATCGGACGATATGCTCAACGATTTTCGCGGCGATTTTAAAAGAATATTTTGTCGATCGCGAGAACAGTTTTCAATTTTCAATATAGTTTGTGAAATACAGTAATGTGTAAATGAATACAATTTTGAATATTTATTTGAAAGATCAACTATATATATTTATAGGTGTCTTGTTACTGTTATTTATAGATACACTTTTAATGACTAATGTTTATCGATGGATGGATATCCAATAACGTAATCTATTAGATACTTTAAAATGAAACATAGACTGAGACTTTTATGAAACAACGATCTTAATTCAGTTTCAATTGAATGTATCCCTAGTAATACTGAATAAATTATTTCATTGCTTTATAAAACTTTATGATTTAAATTTATGTTCAATAGCAATTACGAAAATCTCTTTTAATTATTTTTGAAACATGATTTGTAATCTATATCAATACAGTAAAATTAATTTAATTCTTTTGCCTATAAAGAAGAGATTTACGATTTATTTTTTTAAGTAAATTCTTAAAATGGCTTAGAAATAAAAAGCAAAGTATTTTCAGCATTATTTTAATTTAATAATAATTAAATCGTGATAAAAATCAAGAGTGTCCTAAAAATATAGGAAAATTTCGTAATCATTTAAACATCGATCAAGAATCGATTAAATTAGTGGCAGTTCGCATGCTCCTTAGCGTTATCATCATACAAATTCTTTCGCGATTTCTACGAGAGATTAATATTCGATCAACGGCGTGACGCGCAGTTCAGGTAGAAAGAGCGACAAGACGCGCGTCCGGTCAGCGTAAGTGCACACGTGAGCTCGTTAAGAAACATAATCTTTTTCAAAGTTAAGATACGAAATAAGAGGGCGGTTCGTTCGCTCGATCAAGCGCGTGCGGACGAACTCGCTCGCTCGCGGGAATTTGCTGTTTTCATGACAAAAATGCGTGCGTGGCACGCGCGCTGACATTCTATTTTCGAATGAAACACACGATCAGGGGACACGAACGAGAGACTAATGTAGAAACCAGAGAGGGGAAGAAAAATCCGCTGAGAGAGGAAGACAGAGCGAGAACCCTCCCTTCTCTCGCGAAGAAGAGAAAGAGAGACTTTATTTGTGCTCCGGCGAGCAATACGAGAGGAGGAAGCAAGAGAGAGAGACAGAGAGAGACGTTATCACTGAGAGAGAAAATGCAAAACAGAAAGAGAGAGAAAGAGAGATGCGACAGAAGGTAGGAGAGCTGTCATGAAGGGAGAGAGAAAGAGAGAGAGGGAGCAAAAGCGAAAGGAAAAGTGCATTCGTGCAACAAAGATGCCATATTAAAACAAGCGAGACGAAGTACGAGAGCGAAAGCTTTGCGGCGGCGCGAGGAAAGGCAGAGGTGACGAGCAAGAGAATGAGAGAAAGAGAGAGAGAGAGAGAGAAACAGACAGAAAGAGAGACCGAGACAGAGAATACAGTCTGCGAATACGCGAAGAGAGAGAAACGAGAGGAAGAGAAACGTGCAAACACAAAGAGAGAAAGATACATGCGAGGAGCGCGACAGAGAAAGAGGGATGCACCGTGAAAGTAAGAAGCAGACGGCGAACGTGCCGTAGCGTGGACACCGGCAAGGGACTCCGATTCGTTTCGTGCTTAGGCGGCCATGCTGCGTCTCCGTCGCGTGGTTCTCAGAACGAAGCACCTTTTGCATACGCGCTGAGAAGCGAGCGCGACGCGATATCTCGAGAAGCGACGCTCGTAAACCGACATTTACTCGACGCCACGTTGCATCGGGCGTCTCGATCGCGAGATGCAAACGGAGAGAGATCAACGTACGAACGAAAGAGGACAGACGGAGCCCTAGAAAGAGAGAGAGAGAGAGAGAGAGAGAGAGAGAGAGAAGAGAAAGAGCGGAGCGCGACAGCGAGACAGAGGCAGCACAGATAAGAAGATAAATATATGTGTACATGTATATATAAGAAGAGCGCGAGCAGACAGCGGTCACGGATAAATAAATAGACAGATGCAGATATATACACGAGCGGAGGAAGAAAGAAGATGGACTGCACACACGCACCATACAGACTGCCGCGCATCCAGGTCGGGGGAAGGGAGCCTCCTCTCTTCGCGCGACAAGGAACGACGATGTACACGCTCGCAGCGAGCGAGCGAGCGAGCGAGCGGACGAGCAGGCGCGCCGGGCGCTCACACACGTATACGTCTGCTACGCGCGACACACGCGGCCGCCGGATACACGCGAGATTGATGCCGTTCGCCGCACGCGTCCCGCGTTTTCCACCCGCGACGACTTTTCCTCCGTCGTTGTGTCGCGGCTGCCGCGGCCACGCCACGCTGATACAACGGAGAAGAGAGAAAAGAGGAGGGAAAGGGAGAGAGCGAAGGAAGAGAGCGCGTGAGAAAAAAAATAGAGAGTGAAAGAGAGAGAGAGAGAGAGAACGAGAGGAGGCGATGCGAGCGTGGCGGAGCTTCAACGAGCGCAGAGAGAGCTCGGGTCGGAGCGAGCCGAGGATCCGGCGGAGCAAGCGGTGCTGCCTATCGGATGGCACTGCATTCAGCGCCGCGGTGCGCGACCCTCGTCGGCCCTCGTCGTCTCGTCTCGTCTCATCTCGGCGACGCTCGTCGCTTTCCGCCCCTTTCCGTCCCGGTGGGTATGCATCGCCGCGCCGTGCATCCCCCCACCCCCTCTTCCTACAGCATTCTGCTCTTCTCTCACGGTTTAGAGGATGGTATACATACGTGCTCCATCGCGTATTCCGGCATCTCTCGCTAAGTTCGCGACACCTACATACCCCTCGCGGGGGTGGCGAGACACTCTCGCCGTCTTCAAATTCGATGGAGTTTGCATTGTCCGGTTGATTGCGCCGGTCGATTGTAGACCGACTGAATTTAATATACCTCTCTTGGCAGAATGACAGTATCGTATGTTTTATCGTATAATATTCCTATTATATACATATGAGTATTTATTGTAATATATTTGTCCTAAAGATACAATGCCAAGATATTTTATTTTGCACTTCATATTCTGTTATAAATTAAATACTAAAACTCGATCAATTTAAGTAAAATGATATTTATTCTTTCATTTTCCTTATTCCTTAATAAATAAAATGAAAGAATAAATTGGCTTATATATGTAAAAAATTATAACACAAGAAAAATTTGATGATTAAAGAGGTAGAAAGATATATTAGAAGATTAATATTTGATTGCGAATTTTAAGAAAAAGCTTTTTCCTTTCTTATTATTGGTCTCGTGGTCCTTTCTTGATTGACGAATGTACTTGTAGTAAGAATTTTAAAACGCTACGTTTTCAGAATAAAAACTTCGATTAAATATATGCCATATATCTTGGCATCGATTAAATTAAATCTGTCAATTGTCGATCTGTTTTACACAACGAGAAGAAAGAGCAGACGTATCTTGCGCTGATATATCCCGCTTGGATGTGCTGATGTATCCCGGGTCAGTGAAAATAATTAATGGGAGGAAAGATGTGAGGGTGGGAGTTGGAATTAATCGTGGAACAGATACCACGTGACGATACGCGCTCATGTGTTTTCATATCTACGATTCCCCCTTTTCCCTACGTCTTTTTGCTCGTACGTTTTTTGTTCCCTTTCATTTCTCGAGAAATTACAATATTGGTGTCACGACACTCCGGTTCGGTCCTTTATTTAGCGACAAAAGACGTCAGAGTCGAGCTTAACCAGGCGATCGGCCTCAATAATTCGTTATTTAATGAATTTGTGACGTTCAACGTAGGAATCCCGAAGTACACCTCTAAAAAGAAAGAGAGAAGAGAGATCAAAATACATTGATGGCAATATTGCGCAAATTTTCTTTCCGATCCAAAATTCTTTGCTATATTTATTGTACTGCTATTATATTTATTTGTTTGCAACATACATATTGTCCATGTTCGACATGGCCATTACGTTGCCCAAGTGGAATGTCGAATATTATTAGAAAAACAATAAAAATGCGCAGTCAAGAGCTTTTGCGTGTTGCGAATAAGTATGTAGAATGTAAGTCGCGTCAATGAAACACTATAGAATGTTAGAAATGTGTCTTGTTGATTATATTGACTCGCATTTACGAGACGCTTTTTCGTAGCATCTTAATTTTTCAATTTTTTTCTCTCCTTTCTATTCTTGTAATTCTTGTTTATCAATTTGAATTCTTTATGTACGAATCTCTCTTAAATTTTGTATCTTATTTTATATTTTTATTTTATTTATATTTTATTTATATTTATTTTATTTATACTTTATTTTTATTTATTTTATTTATACTTTATTTATATTTATTTTATTTATACTTTTTATTTTATACTATCGCATACTTATATATAGTACTTTCTATCTCTTTCTCTCCACATTCAGACTTATCTACTCGCTATATGATACACGCATCCGAAGAGAGAACTAACTGGCAAATCGCCGTTCGTTGCAACGATAAATATAATTTAATTCTCGCTCGTGGTCGCGCCGAAAATCGCGTACGAGTGCCCCTGCGGCGCGATGCACTCAGCTTACGCGTTGCACAAAGGTGTACTCGCGAGTACGATGTACGGTGTTGTTTACCCCCGCCTGCGATGACCGGCCGTCCTCGTCGCTCGTTCGCACCTTTCCTCGTCCCGCCGATTTTCTTCCCTTCGGTCCCCGTGTTCGCCGTGTCGGCGCCAACGACGGCGGCGAGGGCGGAGAGGGCGCTCAGATGGAGGGAGAGGCAGACGGACACGGAGCAGAGAAGCGGCGAGGTGGTTTAAAAGAACCTCAAAGACCATAAAGACCAAGTGATAATCGGTCAAAGACCCTTCTGGGGCCGGGGCCAGACGGCGATGCACTCTGTCTGCGGTAGACAACGGACAGACGGACGAACGGACGGACGGACAGAGAGACAGACAGACAGACAGACAGACAGACGGATGGACAGACGGACGGACGGACGATGGACGAACGGACGCGCATCGTACGGCGAATGTAACCGGAAGATCAAAGGAACCGGGAATGTTGCATTCTCGTGTCCTTAGTGCACAATCGCAATTCCACCCGCCGGGGTTTCCGGCAAGGCCAAGTTTCTCTCTCCCCGGATCTATCGATTGCAGGGGACGCGAGTAAATTCGCGCTCGCGTACAGTATACTCGCGGATGAGCGAGGCGATCTGTCTCTGTCAAGGCGAGTTTATTTTTGTCGGCGGCCCCATGATGTCCCGTAATGGCAAAAGCGATCTATACCGAGGTGCCCCGGCGAGATACTCCGGCATCGCTCGTCGGAATTTATTATGCTGCTTGCATCCCAGACACGTTAGCCAGATGAAGACCATTCGTTCGTTCCCACTCGCGCTTTTTTTTCGTTTTTTTTTTTCCGTGCGCGTCGCATCCGCTCGAGGTGACGATTTGATTTTCGCGGATTTGCATAACGCCGCAAGCGCGACGCATGAGCGCGAAACGCCGCATTATTCCGCGATACTCGGCGAGGTTGGGCCTCTCTCTCGTTCGGTGACGATACACACGCGCTTATGCTTATGCTCTTATGGAAATCCGTGCGTGACGGCTTCGATGCAGATAACAAGAAACAATCGAAGCGAGTATTATTGTCACGTTTAAAATATACTGTGCGGCAAGGGTGTGACCCATCGTTTTATAATGTCACGAATAAATACATTCCTTTTTTTATGAGATATTACTAAGACGATACTTGAATAATGTTTTAAGTCAAATTTTCTCAATATAGAATCGAGTCTCTTATCTTTTTTCATTAATATATAATTCTTATATTTCGAAATTTATAATTATTTTTACATCTTTTGATTAATAATTTATTATTAAATCAAAATAAAATATTTTTTTGAAAACTCTTGCGAATCTCCAAATCTTTCTTCGAACAATGTCTTTTGATATTTCTTGAAACATGATATAAAAATAAAAATAAATGTTCTAGTCAGATTTTTTATAGTTTAACGAAATAAAGAAACATGTCTGGTGTTGCCAAACAATTATGAGATTTCGTTGAAATGCACAATCTGATACTTGGACGCATGCATTTAAACGTGAATGTTATTGTTTCATCAAACATTAAAAGCCGACAAGCAAGCATCGAAGAGAAATACACGGCAGAGGCGCGTAGAGTCTCCTCTGCTATTGCAAACGAATTTTTACGGCTGATGTGTACATGGCTACACCTGCCGTTTTCAAGACACCGATCGTAAACGTCACGCACAGCGAACGGCGTCATATCGCCGCGTTCCTCATGCGTGGCATATGTGAACGAGTCTTGTATGCTAAACTGACAATGCGCTGAGCAAAGACAAGAGGGAAGAGAAAGATAGAGCGAATTGTCAGCGGCAGAGAAAAAGAAAAAAAAGAGGAAATGAAAGCACGGATCGCCTCATCGTGACAAAGCAGATGCGTTCCTTGTTGAGTCACGGTATTATGATGCGTCAATCGCGCGAGCTCGATTGTAAAAAAAAAGAAAGAAAGAAAGAAATCGGTTTGTAACTCTGAAAAGTCTCTTTGTTTACCCGTATTGAAGCGAGCGATTTGCCCGCAGTTCACCTCTCAGCCCGATAATAATATTGAATGCAATGTCGCATGTGATGTAATTATCCGTAATTAAATGGAAATTATGTCTATATTATGTTGTAATATATACTACGTAATAAATGTGTATAAATTACGTGTAATTACGCTAAATTACATTGAATATAATATTTCATCGTCAGTAGCATATGTCTCATGATGGACGAGTTAGTTATGGATTTGCATAACAAACATGAAAATAATTAAAAAGATATCTATTTTCCTATAAAAACATCTCGTTAACTATATTTGAAGTATTTTATGTTTTAATTTACCTATTAACATATATAATTTTATATATATTTTTATATTAACATCCGTTGGCAATCGTGGCCAATTAAATTTTTTATATTTCTATTAACAGCTTTTACAGCCCTAAACTAAAAGGTTAATAAATATATTTTTATTCTAAATTCTAAAATAAAAGGATAGTAAATATATTTATAGATATAATTAATTTAGAGATTACTAATATTTTAATAAATATACACACGAAATGACACACGTACATGTATGAAATTGATTAATTCTGTTAATCTTCTAGATTTAGTTTTTATTGAGTTATTCTTTCAAATTATTCAATTTATGGAGTTTTCAAACTCGATGGCGTTCAAACGACAGCCAAAGTTAAATATCACGTATCGTATGTATCGTAAAAAATTGATATGCCACGCGCGCATCAGTTATACGTGACAGCACTGCATCGCCGAGCTCACAGTGTTTACAAGAGTACAATGAGCAGGGGAATGTCTCTTTTCTTCCTCATTCGTGCTTTGATCATGACGATACGCATCATTTCGGATAATTGGACGACTCCAATGGATGATAGGGTTGCATCTGGTCGAGCGAAACCGACGTGATCGTTCAAACATACATTTCGACGGCGCGTATACGTGTATTTACGATACAAGCTCGCGAGACGCGTCAACGATAAATTGGATTACCGATAATCAAATGTGAGATTTGAT